ATTCCGTATCCAAACCATATTTTTGGTGATACGGAATTGTGCATTTTTCCGTATCCTATTATGATACGTTATTTCTAAGGAAAAAAAATCGTATAAAAACTTTATAAAAAACGTATCCAATTTTTTTATAGGGCAGGTATGTGTATTCTATTTTAATAGATTCAGTAATGTCCTTGTTTTACATGATTGATTGTTTTTATTATATTTCACGTGACACATTACTTCTCATGAAGAGAATAAAAAGGATTTTTGTTGAAAATTAAGAAATTACGACGTATTAAGAAAATACACACACGTAATAATTATTTAAATAGGACGAAAAAATGTTTTCTAAAACGAAAATTAATTAAATTCAATTAATTATTGTTTCATCATTTTCACAAAATTTAATTATAAAGTCATTACTTATTATGTGTAATTTAGAAAGTTTCAGACTTTACAGTATACCATTTACACCTGCAGCTGTTTTTGAACCTTCATCAGTAGCTTCATGCTTAAATATTGTGCAAATAAAGATGGGTATAGTCAAGAAGCACAAGTTTCTTGAAATCATTTCGATTATAATTTACTTTATCTTTAGTGTAGAGTTAAAGTGATCTAATCTACTCTATATTGATAGTGTCGGTTGAATTTATATAACCGATAACGGTATCACGGTAAAATGTCAATTTATAGATTTGAGTTGTACCAACTTTTTGCTTCTCCTTCCATAATTCGTTTAATTAATAGTAATTTTGCTAACAAAATGAAAATTATCTTATAAATTATTGGACATGAATTATATACTCTCGAAAATAAATATTTTAAAGAAAATTTTATTAATGTTAAATCTTTTATAAGTTCAATATTAGTTGTCAACGTAGTAAATACTACGATCTCTTTAATTGTTATCTCCGTAAAATAAAATATGCGCATACCGTAAAATAATAAAAGGGTACCATAAACTTAAAAAAAAAGTAATTTATGCTTGAGATATTATTAAAAACTACGTAGAATAAAATTTATACTTATTTAAAAGGATTTAAAGTTGAGTTTATTTGAACTTTAAAAAAAAATAAAAAAATAACATAATTGTGCTCATTTAAATCGTTTATTTCTTTATTTCTTAAGTGAACATTTTATAATTTTCTTGAAATAAGCAATAATAAATGTTTTAAATTTTTTTTAAAAGATTTCATGAAATGAAAAAATAGATCCCTCAATAAAAATTTTCGGGAAGAAAAATAATTTTATTCATATATATTAAAATTCTTATAAAATAAATAATAAATAGAAGATGAATCTTTTCTCGACAAGAAAGAGTTCATAACCAAGTTCAAAGAACGAAGTTAACTTTTTTCTTAGGAAAAATTTTAGGGGAATCAGCATTGTGTGTTGTATTATATTCTTATTTTTTAAAAAAGTAGAAAATTTCGAATACTGTGATTCATTTATCATAATACTGTAAATAAATCAATTAATTACGACTTTGGAATCACAAATTGTCAGCAGTTTTCGGCATCCTGCCGTATTCGATCATTACGTGATCACAAACGGCAATAGGAGAGAAGTATTTAAAGTAACCAGTAAAAATCGGGGTTTTATAGATATTATGTTTATTTTTAATAAAGTATATAGTAAAAAAATTTTTTAGTAGAAATAATTTTGCAAAGCAAAAATTCAGAAGCAAGTTTCCTCATCATAAAACACTCAATTATTCTATTGTTGAATTAATATAATATGCGTGATAAATAGTTCTATAGTTTTGAAGTCTTGGAATAATGAGTGAATTTATTAGTTAAATAAAAAATTTGATCAACATTTGAATTTTAAAAGGAATTTTAATAAAAATTATGAAGTCTTATTATTAGGTGTATTACTATACTGATTTTAATTTCACATTACTTGACATAGTTACCTGTTAAACCTAGTTTATTTAATGTAGAATTTAATTTTACCTTGTGGAAAATAATTGAAGTTCAAAACTTGGTTATCCTTTATTATTTACTCTCAAGCTAGATTTTTTTAAAAATCTTGCTATAATATAACAAAATTAATAAATATAGGAATATAATAAATAACTAATGACAATATGTATTGCATTAACATCTAAAGAGCAAATATAGAATGTAATATAAAATTTATAAAGTTTATAAAGGAAAATTAGTAACATAAAGCTTATATGACTTATTATACAAAAGTACAATATTAGCCTAGCAAAATAATAATAAGTTCTAAGTAACTATCAAATATAATGAAAAATTTTTATTTAATGTACTAAAATATATATTTAGGTACATTAATTACTTCTTTAAATCTGCAAATTTTTGGAATAATTCAAGTGCTTTTTTCTTATCAATATCAGTTCCAATTCCATATGCATAACAATTACCTAAATTAATTATTCCAAATGAATTTCCTAAATCTGCTGCCTTTTGATATAATTCAAATGCTTTTTTCTCATCAATATCAGTTTCAATTCCATATTTATAACAATTACCTAAATTATTTATTCCAAATGAATTTCCTAAATCTGCTGCCTTTTGATATAATTCAAATCCTTTTTTCTTATCAGTATCAATTCCAATTCCCTTGCAATAACAAAGTCCTAAATTACTAATTCCAGTTGCATGTCCTAAATCTGCAGCCTTTTGATATAATTCAAATGCTTTTTTCGTATCAATATAAGTTCCAATTCCATTTTTATAACAATACCCTAAATCATGTATTCCTAATACATTTCCTAAATCTGCTGCTTTTTGATATAACTTAAATGCTTTTTGCTTATTAACACTAATCCCAATTCCTAATTCATTAAATTTTCCAAGTAAGTAAATAGAATTTGAGTTATTTTGATCATTCAATAATAAATTATTAATCTCTTGCAAAGTTATATTTTGTTCATTAAGATAACTTAAGGTCTTTTGTTTTCCTACATTATCATTAAAATTAACAAAAAAATTGAACACATTATTAACTATTATATTAAAGTTATCATCAAATTGGTTAATTGATGATATTGAAGGTTCTATTTCTTTTGTATTCATTACATTAAAATTTTGAATAAGTTGAGATAATTCTACATTTAATGAATTAGTACTTTCAGAAATTTTAACATCTAAATCAGGTAGTTTGTGATCATCATATAAATGAAAATCCTTTATATTTATGTTTTCTTTTATTATAAGTACTTTTAATTCATCAACTACTTGATTAATAGTTGGACGATTATCAGGTTCAATATTCCAACAATCTACAAAAAAGAACGTCATTAATTAGTAATTAAACAACATTGTTTATAAGTCATAGTTAAATTGTATTTACCGGTATAAATTTTTATATAATCTATAGACGTATTGGGAATAGGTGTCTCTCTGAGGCCTTGTAAAATACCTAGAGCCAAACCAACATCATGCGGTCTACCTTGAAAAGGAGGCTGACCACTAGATATCTCCCATAGCAATACTCCAATGCTATAAACATCACTTTTCTTATTTAATAAATATAATTCTGTTGTACTACTATTAAAGCTTTTTGGATCAGTGTAAGGAATTAATCCAAATGTTCTCGAATGAGAGTTAGATGTTTCCTCAATTCTTTTTGATAAGCCAAAATCTGCTAGCTTAATAGTATTCTGATGGACTAACACGTTATTGGAGTGCTATCAATATTAAATTAACGTTAAAATAAGAGAATCATTAAAAATATAACACATAATAAATTGTAAAATATCTACCAAATCACGGTGCACGATCCCTTCATCATGCAAACATGATACTGCATAAACCAATTGAAATGCGAGATTATATTTCTTGTCCCAAGTTAGATTTTCAAAATTTTCCTTCAAATATTTTCGGAGGGTACCATTTTCCGCATATTCTAACACTAACGAATATTCTTTTATTTGGTTTTCTTTAAAAAAAAAAATTTTTATTAATCAATTAATTATTATATGAAATAAATAATATTAGAATATATCATACCCTTAATGGAAGTTGTGACGCCATAAAAATGAATAACATTATCATGAAAATCAACTTCACGTTGAAGTTGAATCTAGTTAATAAATATTAAAAAACTTAAATATTTATAATAATAATGAAAAATGTTCGACATTATAATTTACCTCACGAACTAATGCTTTGACTGTAGCATCATTAATATTAAAAAAAGATTTTATTGCATAACGCTTATGAGAATTCTTCCAATTAGCACGACAAACTTTTCCAAAACCACCGGAACCAATTTCTTGAATATTATAAAATTGGTCATACTCATAATACTTAATAAGTTTTTTAGAAATCGCTTCTTCAATCCATTTATTCCAATCATTTAAATTGCTAACAAGTTCGGTGTTATAAGACATTGTTGGGTACGAAAAAAATTATTACTGCGGAATTTAAATTTTGCTTTTCGAAAATTGAAAAAAAATAGGAAATATTTTTTTTTTGTTTCAACTATTTACATATTTATAAATAATTTTTTTTTTTTTGTCTATTTATAAATATTTATAAATATTTTTGTTTTTTTAAAAAAAAATATGGTATCACTGAACGCCAAAGGTAACCGTCGATCATTTTACTTCTAATTTAAGTTAGGTCATCAAACTTTTGATGATCGGGTGTTTTTAACTTCCAATTTTTTAATTGTCTGCGTGAAATAATTAACAAAATGAATTTTTAATAATTTTATTTTAACTCTTCATTTTTGAAATTAAGGAATTATAATTAATATGACGAAGAAGCTCAAAATCTTTAAGCTACAATGACTAATTTGGGTGATCAAAATAAAAGATCATATAAGCCTATAATTACAATATTATCAGTCTACAATCTTCATATAAATAAATTTTTTGTACGAAAGAGATTAATTTTATTTCCACAAAAAAAGAATAACCATTAACGCGTTTAAAAAATCTTATCAATATTTATACTTCTGATTAATAATTTAACAATATTCTAAAAATTTTATTGTGACAAAAAATTTTTTATGAAATTCAGTATCAACTTTATATACTTCATATAAAATACTACTTAATGATTAATTATAATATAATCATACGCGGTAATCTTTAATCTATCAAAATTTTGCACTTTAATATCATACAACCCAAATCTCTTCACTTCATCCTTAAAATCAAAACAATTCATCAATCATAAGTTTTCGCAAAATTAAACTTTTTAATAGCCAAATACTTAACCCTTTTCTTTTTCATAATATATTCTTTTATAGAGGGTAAAATACTTTGGCCATTAAAGTAATAACAGATTAATAATTTCTTAATAAAGGTATTTTGAGAATTCTTTAGAAACACTTCTTCAATGTGGTAAAGTTTCAAATGTAAATATTTAAAATTTATCCTAAATTTTGTAATATTATTTATTGAACTACATTCAGTTTGAATCACCATGCATGGGCTGTACATTAATATTTTCAATTAAAATATAATTTTTGATAAGTAAACTGACTTCCAATTGTATAAAAATCAAAACTAATTTTATATTTTCACAATATTTCAAATAATAATATTTGTTATACTTCATAACTGGAAGTATTTATTTCACTATTGATTGTAATATGGGATTTTGATTATCCTACATTGAGTGCCATTGTTACTATAAAATTTCAAATTACTATTAAATAGTACATTTTTAGCAGGCTATTTATCACCACTATATCACCACTATATCACCACTATATATATTTGGCAATTCTCTGTCACTAATTAAATTGAAGGCATGTGATTGGTCACGGGGAAGGTGTGAAGATCGCGTCGCATCCCCCTGTATCACTGATTTTTCACTGATTTTTCATGTATATTTGTGCAGTCTCTGTCACTAACAAGATTGAAGGTGAGACACAGTGGTTCGAATCCGGGGGATGATTTTTTTTTTTACATTTTTTTTTTACTTTTTTGATGAAGTCACGAGACACGGGTTCGAATCCAAGGATATTTTTTTACATATTTACATTGACATATTTCGCAAGATCACGGGTTCAGACCTTTAAGCCAAGCCAAGCCGATCAAGCCAAGCCAAGCCAAGCCAAACTTCAAGCCAACCTAAGCCAACATCATGGCAAAGTATATCGGCTTAAAGGATCAATCAAGCGAAATCAAGCCACTTAAAGGGCATTCAAGCCAAACCGAGCCAAACCGTATCGGCTTAAAGGGCATTCATACACGTATACTTTCGTGTTAGTGCATGTAGTGACATGTATACGTGATAAAGGTATGTAAATGCGCATAAACAAGCCGAACCAAGCCAGCCAACCGATGGGAGCCAAATATATCACGTGATGTTACACAAATTTCCAAAAAAGGAAATTTTGTTTCTAACAAAAAATAAAGTTTTGGGTTACACAAAATTTCCCAAAAAGGAAATTATTGTGCAGATCAATTAATTCCGGCCGGAATTAAAGATTTATTTAATTCAGCAAAACTCTATCACGTGACATTACGCAAATTTTCAAAAGAAAATTCTTATGCAAATCACAATTCAATATTTAACTTTTAACAATACTATATATTCCAATACTATATAACAATATTACAATACATATTAATAAAAATACAGTTTTTAAAATTCTAATAATACTTTTATAATAAATACAATTTATTTTCAATAACCAAAAATAATAAAATACAATATTTAAATTGAACAATATTTTATAAATAAAGCAATATTTATAACAAAAATAATGTTTTAATATTTTTCCTAAAAAAGCTAAAGAATTCTTATTAGCAGATTCAATTAAAAATAAAGATTTAGTTTATCAAAATCTTTAACCTATAGAATTCTTAAACACTTTAACAATTAAAACTCCTTCCTACAAATTGATTTTTAAAGTTAGTATACCTATTATACTTTTAAGATATATTAGTCCAATAGAAGAACCTTATAATACCAGACTAATAGTTAATAAATTTCAGCATGTAATAGATGCAGAAATAAAGGTCTGCAAATGGAACCCAGAACCCAGAAACCCTAACTGGCTCGGATCTGAATCCAGGTTTAGACTAACAAACTTTCTTTAAAATTCACCTGGGCTGGGTTCTGGCTGGCACATAATTTTCATTAAACCCAGATTTTCATAATTCTGGCCAAAATCTTTTTAATTCTGGCCAAAATTAAATTGAGTCAAAATTAAGTTGTCTGATTTTTTTTGTTTTTACAACAAATGTTATAATAATAATCTGAATTCAGGCCAGGTTTTTAATATAAATTTGGGCTGGACTGGGCCAACACTTTAGGTTAATTTTCAAGTGCGGGCCAGACTGAATTGTAAAATAGAGGTCAATGCAAATCTCTATACAGAAATTTTAATAAATCATATATATATATTTATCATTTTAATTAATACATTATTAATTTCCAGTTTACTTAGCCTTTACTATAATAATAATCAATAAAATCCAAAAAAAAATACTAATAATATATGTAGGATTAATTCTGTATTTACTCATGGCAATTATATGTCTGTCTCTTATACACNTAAAAAATATTGTATATAATAAAATTTTTTAATATATTATATATATAATTTAAAAATTCTTTACATTTATAAAAAATTTTTACTTCAAATTATCAGTGTGATCATCACCATTGACCAGAGTTATCAATTTTTACCGGTACTATATTTTTTAAATAATACCAATCAATCATTATAATTTCAGTCACCAGTAATCATCACCCCAATTAAAAAAATTCTTTATAAAAATAAAAAGTAATTTATTTTATATATTTGATATAATTCATATATAAAATATTATTTAGGTTACATTTAGTATAATTTATTATGCAAAATATTATCTGAACTGCAAAGCAGTTCAGATGATATTTTGCATAATAAATTATACTAACAAAATTGATTTCACTAATTATATTAGTAGGAGATTTAGGATTAGTATTAGTTAAGTTTAGGGAGAGTAAGTAAAGTAAGTTGATTATTAGGATTAGGATTTTAGTATGATGATTAGAATTAAATTGTTTAAAATTGATCATTATAATAGTAAATTAATAGTAAATTAATAATATTAAACTTATATAAATTTGAAGTTAAAAAAATATTCTTATAATTTATTTATAATAAAATATCTAATTTAACCTCTTATAAACCCATAAACCAAACCTTAAAATTTCATTGACGTTGGCGAACCCGGGGCAACGCCCGGGCCTACGGGCTAGTTTAAAGTATGTATTTAAATTTTTTATAGTGACGCCGCATGCGAAAGAAAATTTATTAATTCGAAAAAAAATTTTGACTGATGCAGTTAACTATTCATGCAAAGGTAACGTGAAAGACTATTTTTGTACCACACTTTTAAATTAATGACAACCTCAATAAAATATTTCTAAAATAAGAACCATTAAATAAGTTACTTCCAATTCCCACGCGACCATTCAAAAAATGTTTTCCGAAAAAAGTAAAGCCAAATTTCAATGTCACATTTCTATATTGGGTTCCTATACCATCGATGATATTTTTATTAAATTAGACAAAAAAGCAATTTATCATATATCAAACAGATTTTTAAATAAACCTGACAAACATAATTTATAAATAATACAATAATTGAAAGATATTATCAATAATAGAAGTTTTTAAAAAAACTGACGAGAAAACATAATTAAAATCTTTTATTAACAGCTAATCAATTATTATTTAGAAAGCACTATTACGCAGTTATCCAAAATGTCACTCTTAAATTGTTACTCAATCATCATATACTCGCACCAAAACCTATAAGAAAATAAACAACATGTTAGAAAAAACGTTTCTTTTATAAAGTAAGTTCATAGTTCAAATTCCTGTAATATTGTCTTGCAAGTTGATAATGTACCTCTTAATACTCTTCCGCCAAAAACTAGATCGAATCAATATAAACGTAGGAACATACACATAATATTCGTACTAAAAAAGTAATTTTACATACGATGATATGAATGTTCTCATCTACAAGCATTTGATCTAAAAAATATATCTTAAACGAGAAGGTAAACATCAACATCTCGCTTTCGGTAGTAACATTTTTAAGCTTGTTTTTATCATTGTAAGCGATGTCAACCTTTCAAAGGTTCGGTTCCTATGATTAACTTTAAATTCATCACTTATCTCTCGATAGATAAGAAACTTGAGATCTTCAATTTTGACGTCACTAATAAGGTTATTATTACGAATGTTAACCGAAAAAGCATCACTAAAAAGAAGTCTTCCTAGGAATGATACAACCATAATAAAATGTTTGAAGGTATATATATACTTGTAAAAATCTTTCCAGATTCACCATGACTAATAATAAAATAGACTCTTCATCAGTGGATTATAATGAATAAAAAATAAGTAAAAAAATTAATTTATTAGTTAAAAATTTATGCGAAAGAAATGATTAATATGATTTGCATGAAAAATTCTCATGAGTTTTTATCATGAGTATTTGTTGAATTATTATTACAAAATTTTTCGGTCATACGATAGACCACATTTGACTGAGTGCGAAAAATGTGACTTCGTTACAAACCTATTTCGGAATTTTTTATGGAAATGAGTCATGAGCCAAAAGAAACGAATCTTGATAATTCGCAAAATAAAAATGCCATATATCACAGCCGGCTTATCTCATATTCTGAATGTACGATAGAGAATTCGGAGATCTGTTGGCCCATCATTTGCCATTGATCAAGGACTGCTTCAAATAGAAAAGACTTCATTTTTATTGAAATTTAAAACTACCAATTTATACACGCTATTACTCTTAAATAATCCGTCCAGATTTTATTTACATAATTACTTTTTTTATTAATAAATTTATTATTAAAACGTCATGCGAAATTGAATTATGTCACGGTAAATAACGACCAGTCACGTGACTTAGAAAATTCCTAACTACGCTTTTAAAATATATTAACTAGTAATTAAAAAAAATTTTTTTTTCGAGGACCAAAAATAGAAAAAAAAAAATATTTTCTGGTTTTGAAAAAAAAAACTGAATTAAAAAAAAATAATAAAAAAAAGGTAAGCGGCAACACGATATACTGCGGCTGATCACATCACCCGAATAAACTAGCATCATAACAAAAAAAAAATCTGATCAAGCTTTCCTGTATTAGCCACAAAAATCTTCACGAGCCAACCAAACTGGAATAGATCAGACGCAGATATATCCATCTATTAGTCATAACCATGAAAAAATTACTCATATTGTCATATTGTCAAACAATTGTATTGTCAAAACAATTGTATTGCAAAACAATTGTATTATGCAAGATACTATACTCCCTATCTTATTATTATTCACTGTTTATTCGAAAAAGTATTTATTTTTTTTTTGTCAACTAACAATATTATATATACACAATATATACTTCATCGTCTTTTTTTTTCAAGGTCTATCTTCTCTCTGCCTAGGCTTCTCTTTATTAGGTCTTCTATCTTGTAGGCCCTTTTCTTTACATCTTCCTTTATAGTGTAGGAGTTTGTGTGTGGTTTTATCATATTTATTTCATCTTTTCTCTTATTAGGTCTTCTTAGACCCCTTTTTTTTCATTTTGTCATCCTTTTTTTTCGTTTCGTCATCTTTTTATTCGCTTCGTCATCTTTTTTTCTTTCGTTTCGTCAACTTTTTTTTCGTCATCTTTTTCGTCATCTTTTTTTTAGGTTTATCTTCTCTCTGTCTATCTTCTTTTAGGCCCTTTTTCTTCACATCTCTTTAGGTATGTGGGTTTGGGAGTGTGGGTTGGGAGTGCGGGTTGGGAGTGGGAGTGTGGGCGTGTGTGGGAGTGTGGGTTGGGAGTGCGGGTTGGGAGTGTGAGTGTGGGCGTGTGGGAGTGTGGGAATGTGTGTGGGTTTGTGGGTTGGGAGTGTGGGAGTGTGGGAGTGTGGGTTGGGTGTGTGGGTTGGGTGTGCGGGTGGGTGTGGGAGTGTGGTTGGGTGTGGGAGTGTGGGCGTGTTGTGAGAGTGTGGGTTTGTGTGTGGGTTTGTGTATGTGGTGTTTCATTTTATTTTTTTTCGTCATCTTTTTTTTAGGTCTATCTCTCTCTGTCTAGGTCTTAGGTCTTTTTCTTATAAGCCCCTTTCTTTACGTCTTATTACGATCCACAAGATAAGCATAAATCGATTTATAATATTTTTTCTTTTTTGAACATATATTCTGACAGTATTTTTTAGTTTATAAACACATATAATTAATTTTATTAATGTTTAAATATTTGATTATATGAATTTTGAAAAATAACAATATGTTTTAATACTTTTAAATTTTTAATTGAACGTCAAATTTTGTAATTACTATTTATTAATAAATCATGCAGGATATAAATGATGTAAAATAGTTTTATTTAAATGAAATTTTACAAACTGGACCAGTAATAATAAACAAATTGATAGATTAATTCAAGAAATGCAATTAAAAATTAGTTGATCATAAAGATATACAGTACAATTAAATGAATCAATGGCTTTAAAATGTTTAAATAATTCTCAGAATATTTTCAGTAATTTTCTAAATGATATAAATATTTAACTATTTGAACACTTTTCTTAAATATTATAATTAACCTTTAGGTTAAAACATATTCAATTGATAATTATAATAACTTTAATAATTTCTGATGGAATTTTAAAAATATATGGTATATCAGGACTCTGAGCAAATTTATATGTAAGGTGTCAAAAATTTTATAATAGCTAGCTCTACGCAAGGTTTTTAAATAAGATAAATAAGCAAATTCAACGTGTGGCTTCACGAATTTCCAAAAAATAAACAATCAAATCATGACCTTATAAAAATTTTTTAGTATGAAAAAATCACAATAATAAAATATGTTGATAATTTCCGATTATTGTCATTTTATTTTTCATTTTATCAATTTCCTCACGATATACAATTTAACATTTCATCATTTTTTTAATAGTCATCCCAACCAAAATATTCATCATAATTCTTTTCACTCAAATTGTTGGATGGATATCAAAAACGACTATACTTAACCATAAATATACATATTAAAATAACTATTAATGAATAAAACTTCACAGATGTAATTGACTTTTGATATCGGGACTAAATTTTTTTAAACATTATAATGATTGATGTTTATTGTATTCGATAATATATGGAAATTACAAAATAATTATTAGCTTTGTTAATAAGAAGGAATTTTAATCAAGTTTAATTTATTTTAACGCGATAGTCTATGAAACTAATGAAAATACTAAATATAAAAATAAATAAGTCTAACATTAAATAAACAAATATAAATATTCTATCATTACCCTCATGAACCGCAATGCGGTATGTATTATTTGATAATAGTTTATTCAATCCATTATTTGTGTTGCCGGAAGTTCACCATTCCATATATTAAATAACGCAATATTGATTTTTCTTATTATATTTTATATATTTGGTAAATTAACTAGTACGTATATGAATGGTTTATTTTATATAAAGGTTTATTTATATAAACGGGTAAACCTATAATATACAAGCTACATGGTTTAATCGGTCGGAAAACTAATAATACCCCTGAAACTGTAATTTACTTAAAAATACTTTACACATATATTTGTTTCTGATAACCCTAAGTAAGTGTTTGACTTGATTAACAAATATCTTATGTATTTATAATTACGGGACCATATATGAAGTATATATATGAAACTTGTATATGGAAACTTGTATATAGAAACTTACAATTAGTCATGCAAAATATCAGTATATGAATTATGAGTCATGTGACAGTATCCGTATATGAATGATGAATCAATGAATCATGTAAAAGTACTGTATATGAATGATGAATCATGTAAAAAATATCTGTATATAAGTATGCCAATTTTACTTTGTATAAAAAATTTGACATTCCCGGCCCAACATGTCATGTTCAAAAAGATTTTTACCTGAATTAACTATTGAAGTTACAAAATATCTTCAGAATGATTATTCAACTTTATATTCATGCATCTTAGTTAACAGATTCTGGTGTCATCTAGCAACTCCATTATTATGGGAAAATCCTTTTTCAATCCGTACTGAAAACTATAATTTTATTGAAATTTATTTACAATTTTCAAATGATGATTTTAAAACAAAATTAAAAGAATATAATATTATTAATAATTCATTATCTTCGAAAACACTATTTAATTATCCTAGTTTTTTAAAATACTTGAATATACATAAGCTTATAATCTCTGTTCAAGAATGGTATGATGCTTTTAATATTAAAGCTTCAAAATCTGAAAATAGTGTATTGGATTTGGATTTTAAAAGATTGATTTGTATATCACTATTTAGAATTTTTATTGAAAATGAAGTAAATTTATATACCCTCGAAATTGAAATAGACTTTATTAATAATAATTGTTATTACCCATGTCTTAATGATATTCTTGAATTAATTTTACAAAATACAAATTTCATCCACAATATTAGAAATTTAAACTTTTTTATTGAAAGTATTGTAGATTATAGTCGCGAATTTGCATTGACTAAATATCGTATATTACAAATAATTAATTTACATCAAAACCTTAAGAAAATTTTATTAGGTCATGATAATCTTCATTTATATCAAGAATTATTATCATCAGAAGATTTATATAATTGTTCAAATACTTTAAATACAATCATTTTCTATTGCATTAATTTTAATTATATAACCAATTTAAATAGAATATTTGACCAATTAAATGGTTTAAAATCCGTTCATATCATTGATTGTTTATCTTTAAATAATTATTTTGCTCAACAAATTATTAATTTAACTAAACCATTTAAACTAAAATCTTTGTCTATACGGGAGATATCAGAATCAGAAATTGAATCATTAAAATTATTAATACAAAAATCATGTGATTATTTAGAAAATTTTGGGTATGGTGGTTCTAAATATGAAATTTATGATTCACTATTAGAACAACAAATATTAGGATTAATTATAACATGTTGCAAAAATATCAAATTTCTTAATCTGATTATAGATGATAATCAGCAGAAGATCTATCAAGAATTCAATTTAATTGAAAATATTAAACAAAATCTTAATTATCTTTCAATCACTATAAATAATATTGAATGTAGTTCAATTTTATTACAAAATTTAGGACAAACCATTCCTTCTAAATTAGAATATTTACATTTGTATCTTAATTGGATTAGAGAATGTGATATTGAGGTATTTCTAAAAAATTCTCAAGATACTTTTATTAAAAAATTATTGATCCGTAGCATTTATAATCAAAAAGATATTTTACCCACTATAAAAAAATATCTCTTTAAAAAGAGAAGGGTTAAGTATTTGGCTATTGATGTTATTTATAATATGTATGATAAGATATCGTTTTCATTGAAAGATGAAACGAAGGAATTTAAGCTGAATGATGTTATAGTACAAAGTTATCATAGTTTAGTGATAAATAAACTTAATTTTATAAAGGAAGTTTATTAATAATTGTTTAGCAATAGTATTAATAAAATATATCAGGCAGGAATATTCTTTTATTTAATAATAAAGTTGCTTATAATTTTACCTACACAAATAAAACATTCATTCATTTGTTATTGAGATTATCATTGTTTTTATCAATTCAAAAATCTGAATTCTTTCTTTATTTGGTGATACAATAATTTGGTTTGTCCTTGTTTTCTGTATTATTTACTAGAAAAAAAAATTATCAAACAAGTAGCAAAAAGGAGAAGAAATTAAAAAGAGGATGCAGCATGTAAGAAAAAAAGAAGTTTAAGCATTGTTGTAATAGTGTTTCTATCATAAAATATCTTAATATCATATTGAATGTAATGCTGGATGTACAGATTTATGAAATGGGAATGTAAAAGTAGGATTTTTTAAATAGAACTTTGAATAATTTATGAAAAATTAAACATAGCCTGAATAAATGAAGCAATAAAGAAGTGATCTTTAACTTTAATTATAATCATTCATAATAATATTTATATATAAAATTATAACACAACTACATAATTTCTTCTATTTTTCTAATGCTATCTTATTTAATAACCAAATAAGTATTTTAATAATTTATAATAAAATATCTAATGTAATAGAAAATGTAATTATTAGACAGATTTCATTAAAAAAAAAGCATAAATAATAAAACAAATAATCTTTCATTATGGAAACTTAACTGAGATGTCTAATTTTCTTTAATATGTTTTTTGTAACTTTTTGTGGTTCAAAAAAGTTGTGATTTCAAGATTTTAACAGTTGTATTTATTATATAAACTTCATTATTATAAATTATATATAATAGGATGCCTATTAACCTAAGCATTGACTAAAGCACTGCTCCCCTTGAGGAAATATTAACCTAAGCATTAAAAAATTTTGATAAAAGAAAAAATATTAGAAATTAAAAAGTTTATTACGGCTTAAAAAATTTTGGTCAATATTGCATGATCGGCATCAATTTCACGAGTGGGTAAGTTTGACCGGAATTAAGTAGTGATTGACGTTAGTGATGTTACACAATATTAATTGTGCGACAATATCGGAATCACCATTTTCCGAAACTTTAAATTTATTCGTAGTAAAATGTGATACACAAATACCCCTCTTTTCTCTTTTAATTTTACAATATGTCATGTTCAAAAATATTTTCAGGGGATTTGCCCGAATTAACTTATGAAGTTATAAAATATTTTCAAAATGATATTTTAACTTTGTATTCATGTATTTTAGTCAACAGATTATGGTGTCGTTTAGCAACTCAATTATTATGGGAAAATCCTTTTTCGGTTCGTACTGAAAACTATGATAATTATATTGAAATTTACTTACAATATTTAAATGATGATTTTAAAACAAAATTAAAAGAGTATAATATTATTAATAATTCATTACCTTCAAATACACTTTTCAATTATTATGGTTTTTTAAAATATTTGAATATAAATAAGCTTATTTTTTCTATTATAAATTGGCTTGAAGCTGCTATTGGAGATTCAGACCTCGTATCTGATTTTATAAGATTGGCATCTGATATATGTGTATCATTAGTGAAACTTTTTATTGAAAATGAAGTAAATTTAGATGTTCTTGAAATTGACATAAAACATACTTCTTTTGGTATAAATTATGATGATATTCTTGAGTTAATTTTACAGAATACAAATTTCATTCACAATAATATTAAAAATTTAAACTTTTATATTGGTTATTATAAAGAAAATAAATTACTTAATAATCGTATATTACCAATAATTAAGTTACATCAAAATCTTAAGAAAGTTTCATTGGATCATGATAGTTTTTTTTCATATCAATCATTATTATTATCAAAAGATTATAATTGTTCAAACACCTTAAGTACAATTATTTTCTATTACGTTGATTTTGAAGGTATAATCAATTTAAATAGAATATTTGAACAATTAAATGTTTTAGAATCCGTTCATTTAATTAATTGTAATTCTTTAAATACTGGTTTTTCTCAACAAGTTATTAATTTAACTAAACCGCTTAAATTAAAATCTTTATTTGTACAAGAGTTAGGAGCGATATCAGAAATTGATTCTCTACAATTATTAATACAAAAGTCTTGTGATTATTTAGAAAATTTTGGGTATGATTGCGGACTTATTTATCCACCTGGACTAATTCAGATCCCTCAGGCAATGAGACAATTATTTGAATTAATTGTGAAACATTGTAAAAATATCAAATTTCTTGATCTGAATATAAATGATAATCCGATTATTTATCCAGCACTCAATTTAATTGAAAATATTAAACATAATCTTAATTATCTTACAATTAGTATACATGATAATAATGGACATAATTCAATTATATTACAAAAATTAGGAAAAATCATTCCTTTAAAATTAGAATATTTACATTTGTATCTTTATTATATTAAAGCATATGATTTTGAAGTATTTCTAAAAAGTTCTCAAGATACATTTACTAAGAAATTATTGATAAGTAACATTACTAAAGGTCAAGATATTTTACCCTCTATAAAAACATATATCATGAAAAAGAGAAGGGTTAAGTATTTGGCTATTAATGGTGCTTTATTTAGATCTGAATTCGTTAGTGATGAATTGTTTTCATTGGAAGACGAAGTGAAGGAATTTATGTTGTATGATATTAAAGTGAAAAGTTATTATGGTTTAGCGATTAACATGGATGATTTTATGAAGGAAGTTATTTAATTATTTAGTAATAATAATTGAAAAAAATATTAGATATGAATATTCTTTTGTATTACGATAAAGTTGTTATAATCTTACTTATTCTAAATAAAATATTCATTTGTTTTAATATTGAGATTATCATTGTTTTTATCAGTCCAAAAATCCAAAATTCTTTATTTGTGATACAGTAATTTGACGTTACCCGTTATTAGTATAAACTAATGTTTTGCTTTTACCTTCCCATATACGCTTTGCATTCTCGGAAAATATAAACAATTCGATTAATTCCATGATATAAGGTTATTAATTCCAGAAATATGAACCTTTTACGGAAAAAGATGGAATATAAGAAACGGATCAACTTTTTTACAGGAAAAAATAAGATTTAAGTATTGTTTTCATCATAAAATATAATCATAATGAAATTAGAATCTGTACATTCAGCACTATCTAATTATGCAATAATTACATTCAATAATACATTACGAAATGGGAATAACAGGGATAAGGGTAGGCCCAAAGGAATAGAAAAATTTTAACGATGGAGTTTTTAGAAATTAATTTCCGGTGAGATTTTTTATTACTCTAGTAAGTTTTGTTGTATATAATCACCTTTGGATTAGATACTAATTTTTGAAAATCTACGTTACTAATTCGTATAATAAAAATGTTGAATAGTATATTGCCACCATAGCAAAACGGTTTTTTTAAAAAAATGTAATGTTTGATTTTATGTTAAAAGGGATAAATTTATATTTCATATTATGTATGACGTAAGCGATCATTCAAGTCACGACTATGACTCATTATATGTTGTAGATGTCACGTCTGAAATTGATTTTTGATTGGATGTATCACGTGGTCAGGCTGACCGTTAAATTTCAGATGTTATTTTTTGATTGACGCGTTTCGCGTTTTACGTTTTACACTTGCTTTACTTGCTTTCATATTTTTTTTTTTTTTTATAAAAAATCTAAAAAACCTATAGTATTATTAGTATGGATTACACGAAAATTATTGAAATACTTAATAATAATAAAAATAATTTTAAACAAACAGTATGTCACGTTTCTACTTTAGACAACTTATCCACAAAACCTGTCCTTTTATGCTACGCAACCCTCCCACCAACAACCAAAGAGGAGAGGAAGTGACGAAGCAGTGAAATTAAGAACAAGTGGAGGAAGTAAAGGGTGGTGAACTAAAGATCTCACCATCTTTTAGCTCTGAAATCTTTTTTATTGTTGGACTTGAAAAACTATAATAATCAGTTTTAATTAAGGTACTATTTATCTTTAATTTTCATGCTTGTTTGAGAAGGCAATTCCCAGACCACCATAGCATGACAAAGATGTGAGAACTATTGTTCTATACAGGAGGAATAATTATGTACCTTTCTCACGGGTCATGTGAGGTCTTTTGTTCTGAAGGAGGAACAATTATGAACCTCCAATATTGTGATATCTTCTAATGGATTTATTTTTATTAGGAGTTTCAATATATATATACATTTATATATATATTATCAGAGAACTGGAAGCACATCGTGGCCACAGTTACGCAGTCTCAGACAGCCTACTGTGAACGTCCTTCTCTGATTTCAGGAATTCCTAGTATCACAAATAAATTGTGTGTCTTGGTTTTGCTGCATGGATAACAGGCATCAGGGTAAGAGTACTTGGTGCAGGGCTGAAATTAGCTTTCTGTTATGGGAAAAACCTGATGAGTGTAGTGTCTAAACCTAGGCATAGGCATTACCTGCAAAGAAATTTGTTCTGTTACCATGCCAAACATTCATGTTATTTGGTTCAATAGTACTCACTTTTTTCTTTTTTTTTAGATTAAATAACATTAACATTGACAATTTCACGGACTAACCAGCATTAATAATAATCGGAGAATCATCTATCTTTCTATCAGCCACAAGAATAGTGTTATTAAATGAGCAGCACTCCACCATGTCACTATGCCAAGAAAGAGCCACCTAATGATAAATGTAAATAGTGAATATTTATTCATTTTCTTATTGTCCAGATTTATCTGTTTTAATTTATATACTAACAATTTAATTATAATATGTTCATTTTTTGCTAATCATAATTTTTTTAAAAGCAGATTTATCTATAATTACATAGGCCTAGAATAAGTAAATTTTCGTAGTTAAGCTTTAGCAATTATGTAACATCAAATTTATTTGAAAATTTATAAATATATATAATTTAAAGGGATAATATTTTGTATAGCGCAAAAGTTCAAAAGTGACATTTATATGAATTATTCAGACAGTAATACAGTGGATACAGTAATCACTAATCAAGTTCATATTGTCTATAATGATCTAGAAAAGAAATTCATTGATTACAAAAATTATATGTCATTAAAATTTTGAAGCAATTGATAGAAGAAAAAAGTTACAGGTTTTTTTTTCAACGTCATTTAAATATAAGGACGAAGATTATAATATTAAAACGGAAGCTATGAAGAAAAAGTTATATGAGGAATATCTTAATTTAGAAGATATAGGGATAATATGGAACAGTATGCTAGTAAATAAGTTTAATTTGAAATGGAATAATATCAACATTGATGGATGTTATGATTAATGGGCAAAAAATCTAACACCTAGATCAATTAACAAATTCATTTGTTATGAGTATCTGTTACAATATAGAGTGGAAAGATAAAAGAAAGTTACATGACGATCAAAATTAGATGATGGATTTGAAGGTGATGGGGGCAGAAATGAAATAATTTAGAAAAAAATGAAATCATAAAAAAAAATTAAAATAGATAATGTAATTAATAATATAGTTGGTAATAATATTAACGAATTGTAATTTGGTATCCAGAATGTCCTTCAATGAAACGAATGATTCAGGAGAAGGATTCAGAGAAATGGCCTCGGTAAAATGGGTTTTAGTAGAATAAACTTTGGTGAAATATACCGTAACCAATTTATGTAGTAAATACATGTATTACATTGGATATGATGGAGGTGTGGTATTGAAGGAACATGTAAATTAGTTAAATTTATATTTAAATTCCAGTTTTATTTTAATTTTTTGTATATAAATAAAGTAATTCGTTTTATCACAAAAAAAAGTGTATGTAATTTTACAAGTTTACGAATATATGAAATTAAAAGTAATTGTTACATGATTATTCAAAATATTGTTTCAATTCAATTACTCATAGAGATATCCAGATCTGGTTAATTCGAGAATTTATGAATAAGCCAGTATAAGCCTTATGGAAAAGTGAATATCTTTAATTCATTTAACTGGAGTAATCCTTGCTTTTAAAAAATTTTGTTTTCTTGTATATTAATTTCTCATTCTGCATTAAGGCTGACCACCCGTAGCTCCCATAAAATGTGACCTGATTCATGGTGAGTTCGTGATGAGTTTACACATGACTAAACACAAATGGACTTACAACTTTCTTCAGTTTCAATTTCTCAATAATTTTTAATAATTTGAACATTTTCCATCCTGATACTCAATTCTTTTTAATAAATTTAATAAATTAAATATTAAATGCAAATCATGATTATGGTAATTACATAATTTACGCAATATATCTTGTTACATTTTAAATTTTCTAAGTTGGGCAAAAAATTTTGGTCGATCGGCATCAATTTCAATTCAAAGTAAAGTCAACTCAGCCCTGCGCCCTTAATCAGTCCTGACTGGTCTTTGAAAATTCTCTGAGTTGCGCCTCTAAATATTAGTGGTGCAGTAAAATCGGTTAAGGACTGAAAAATTTGGTTTTAATCCAATCAGCCAATTCAAGACTAGATTAGTTTCTATAACCGAAATCTATTTTATTCTCAAATTTAGCTAATTTAGCTTCTGTTATCTTTAGAAAAAGCGGAATAGAGGCCATTTTTCCTACTGAAGTACAGATATTTCTATGTAGACTGTCTAGGACGGATGAATTTGATTAATAACGTGTGTTAAAAAAGTTGAATTTTTTAAAAAATCATAAATGCATAATACTTAATTCAAATAATCATAAAAAAAAGTTTTAATATTTAATTTAAAAAAATTTTTTTTTTTTTTTTTGAATTTTCAAGATTTTGATTTAAATATATGTAAATAGTTGAAGAACAAATTATTAAAATAAATCTGGTCATATTTAATCTGAATTATATACTTTGCCAAATTTATATTAGTGTAATGAACACTGACAATTTGATCATTAGATTCATATTACGGATGTTGACTGACGATAATATAACAGTTTATCACTAAATTATGATTAATTTCATAAATTGGAAATTTTTAGTATTTTCTTTATGTATACAATCTATAATAACATTTGGCCTCGGTGTAATCAAAACTTTAACTCTGGCTAATTATAATTTTGACCAGAATTATTAAAGTGGGACAATCGCTGATTGACATATAATTACGTTATGATTGTTACACAAAATTGGCGAAAATTGTGCGACAATATCAGGATCATCATTCCGAAAGTTATATTTACACAATATGTAAATGTGATACACGATTACCTCTCTCTCCCTTCTTTCGTTTTACAATATGTCATGTTCAAAAATATTTTTAGGAGATTTACCAGAATTAACATATGAAGTTATAAAATATTTTCATAATGATTTTTCAACTTTATATTCATGCGTTTTAGTTAACAGATTATGGTGTCGTTTAGCTGCTCCATTATTATGGGAAAACCCATTTTCAATCTGTATCAGAAACTATAATTATTTAGAAATTTACTTACAATATTTAAATGATGATATTAAAACACAACTAAAAGAATATAATATTATTAATAATTCATTACCTTCAAATACATTCTTCAATTATTTTATGTTTTTAAAATATTTGAATATACGTAAGTTTATTTTATCTTTTGAAAAGTGGCTTAAAGTTGTTATTAAAACTTCAACCTTCGAAATTAGACATAAAATATTGAATGATATATGTACATCATTATTTAAAATGTTTATCGAAAATGAAATAAAATTACATACCCTTGAAATTGAGATTTACAATCCTTATAGTAGCACAATTTATGGTGATATTGTTAAATTAATTTTAAAAAATCCAAATTTCATTCATAATATTAGAAATCTAAAATATCTTGGACATGATTGGGTTAATGGGTGTAATTCTTCTAATGATTATATGTTACAATTATTAATTAAATCACATCAAAATCCAAAAAAATTTTTATTAACAGGATATATTAGATTTAAATCAGACCACTCATTATTATTATTAAAAGATTTTAATTGTTCAAATACCTTAAAAACAATTACATTCTATCGAGCCAATTTGATGCATTTTGTTAGTGACATATTCAAACAATTAAATGTTTTGGAATCTGTTCATATTATTTATTGTTATTCTTTAGATGAGAATTTTTCTCTACAAATTAATAAATTAACTAAACCATTTATATTAAAATCTTTATTTACGGATGGTTTAATGTCAATCCAATCAATGGAATTAGTATTACAAAAATCTGGAAGTTATTTAGAAAATTTTGGGTGTAAATTTGGATTTGAACGATATTCAGAATTAATTATAAAATATTGTAAAAATCTCAAATTTCTTGAATTTAATGGATATGAAAGTCAGATTATTACTTATCGAATTTTCAATATAATCGAAAATATTATTAGACAAAATCTTAATTATCTTTCAATTGATATTAGGACAGATGATTATGATAATATTAAAGGTAGTTCAACCATATTACAAAATTTAGGTCAAGCTCTCCCTTCTAAATTAGAATATTTAAGTCTGACGCTTAGTATTAAGAGAAGTGAATTTAGAATATTCTTACAAAATTCCCAAAATACTTTTATTAATAAATTATTAATAAGGCAAATAGGTTGGGATGATATTTTAAGTTATACAAAGGAATTTATTATGAATGAAAAAAGAGTCAAGTATTTAGCTATCAGAAGCATTAATAATGGAGATTTGTATGATTCGGAAGATATAGTAAAGGAATTTAAGTTACATAATGTTGAAGTTCGAAATTTTTATTATTTAAGTATATCTGACGAAACTAATCGTTCTGTAAATAGTAATCTTATTGATTATTTACAAGGATGAATATCATATATAATTCATGACGATTTTATCATGTGACAAAAAATTGGATGTTTCCTGTAGTTAAATAGATTTCAAATAAAAGTTTTAATAATTCATTTGATATTAAATTATTTCAAAATTAGATATGAGCTAAAGCTTTCAATCTTATAAATTTCTTACTATCTGGATGAGCGAATACTTGCATCTTTTTTTAAAATATATCCTTTCGATATCTAATGATTTGATTATCCATGTTTGGCTAAAAATGCAGTAACATTCCTGAAAATAATTTTCTTTTTAAATATAATTCTCTGGGTTGTGAAGCATCTTGTAAATTCGAAGATTTTTCCTTTATAATGAAAACAATATGCTCCTAATAATTATGCAAGATAAAAAAACCAATTTTGGGTACGAGTGATCGTGAAAAAAAAATATGTATCGCGTCAATAAAAAATTTTTGATTTTTTTTTTTTGTGTTATGAATAATTTTTACTTTATTTATTGTAAATTCTAGTATCATTTCTTCTTCACAGCGAGAAATTTTTTTTACTAAAAAAAATTCAAATTATGTATTAATTATTATTAATATTTTCAAAATGTATCCCTAATAACATTTTTATCGAAGAAGTTAAAAAGATTTACCCTAATTACAATAGATAATAAGCTAATTTGGCGACTTTAAGTAACTTGAATAACAGTTAAAGTAAAAATAATTTTTGAGCGATTTCCATTTGAGGTTTGACTTTTGAGTGTTTCCTCATTTGGAGTTTAACTTTTTGAAATTATTTCCATTTGGAATTTTCTTCTAATATTTCCACTTGGCAAAAATGTTTAAAATTACTAAAATATACTTACCTTGTTTAGATTTAACATACCCGTATTTATTTTCTTATTCGGAAAGTTACCAAAAAAGATTTATAATACGTCATTATATTATGTTTAACAATTAAATAATTACATTTAATTTTTACTAATATTTTTATTAAATAATTCTTTTTTAANCCACTTGGCAAAAATGTTTAAAATTACTAAAATATACTTACCTTGTTTAGATTTAACATACCCGTATTTATTTTCTTATTCGGAAAGTTACCAAACAGAATATCTGATATGTTTTTTTATTATGTTTAACAATTAAATAATTACATTTAATTTTTACTAATATTTTTATTAAATAATTCTTTTTTAACATGTGCATTTGGTGATGCGACCCAAAATCCATCCATTCACCTTGAATCCTATCAATGGTTAAAAATCCGTTTATTGGTTAGATTTCACATGATGATCACCAATAAAAATTTCTGATTTCACGTGATAATTAATTTTAAATGAGCCAATAAAGATTAATCACAATTTACATATATCGCAGAAAAAAAAAAAAATCTAAAATACAAAGTTCTAAAAATACAAATTCTATAATTACTTGTTGTTTAATTAATATTCACGTTCTGAATAAAGGCAATTTCAAGTTAGTTAAACATAATTACTTAATTGTAATACTATACTATTCAATGGTTACGGTACATTTCGTCGAAATCCATATCATCGAAACCCATTTCGCCAAAGCCATTTCGCCGAAGGGATGTATCACTGAAGTGATGTTTCGCTGAGAGGATATTTTGCAAAAGTGTATTTTATCGAATCCATTCACCGTATCTTCTATTTCGCCAAATTCTATTTCACTGAATCCCATTTCGCTAAATGGACATTTCGCCGAAGATGGTAGCGATTAAATAATATTCATCACGCAATGAAAATAAAAATTAAAAAATTTTTTTTTCCAGGATATTATCTCTTTAACATTCAATTAACTGATATTAATTGTTAAGCAATAAATAAATAACTTATTTTCCTAAAAACATTTATTCAGTAAAAAATGATCAATATATTATAAACAACAAGACAAATTTAATAAAAATTAGCTAATTCAAAAATTTTTCTAGAAAAGATTTCTTTGTGTATTTAGTATAAAAATAATAAAATAGCCAAATGGAATAAATAATTTAACGGCGAAATGTCCATTCGACAAAATGTCCATTCGGCGAAATATCCCTTCGGTGAAATAATATCCCTTCGGCGAAATGGTTTCGATGAAATAGACTTCAGCGAAAAGTCCGGATACCTCATTACCTGAAATTGTTCCCTTCCCCCTCAAATTTTCAGCCATAAAAGACGTTAAACTAATTATTAGTTTAAAATGGCCTTAACTAAACCAAAAAAATGATATGAATTCTCTCTTTTTAAAAAAATTTGTAATCTAAATTTATGATGTTTAAAAAGTATATGATTTTTTTCTTATAATCTTGAATGATGATCAAGTTATTGTTTAGAAAATGTATTTAATCAATTATTTTGAATAATTAAAAAGATAGAGTACAATAGGATAGATTCTTTTTTATTAAATATGAGATTTTTTTTTTTTGCAATTAATAGTAAATAATTATCTAAGATTTTCTTAAGAACAAAAGGCATAATTATAATTGTCAAGAGATCCTTTTTTTTCGTCAGGTCATGCTAAAATGATCAACATACAATTACGAAAATTTTTTTTAATAATCTAAACAATTAAAAAAGGATACAATAGACGAATAGAACAGATTCTTTTTTATTAATAAATATGATAACTTTTTGAGAATTAATTAATAACTAGTGACGAGAACCGTTAGAGGCCGAAGCGAGTTTCGCGTGTTTTTAATTTATTTTAAAAACGTGCCAGTTGTATTTTCGCAAACTAAATTTAAAACGGGTACAGCCGGATTGACCTGATTCAACCCGATTCAACCCGATTTTTACAAAGCAAACCATAATTTCAGCCAAATTCATAATTCTGGGTCAATTTTTTTATACGTAGTAACGTAGTTCCGAATTAGGAATTTTCATGTCGGTCACAAATGATCACGTGATCATGGTTCAAAAAAANAAAAAAAATGAAACCGAATCATTGTTGGAAACCGAATTTACAACCGGTTTGTGCAACCGGTTCCAAATTCCAGTCCCTCCACCGGAATGGTTTTGGCGAAATGGCCTTCGGTAAAATGTCTATTCGGGAAAATGGCAATTCGGCGAAACATGCTTCAGCAATATGCGTTTCTGTGAAATTGATTTCAGCGAAAAGTTTGGATCGGAGGATACTCCTAACAGCCTAACCCTAATTCGTTTCATATTTATGTTCATGTGTGCAAAACGTCTAAAAAAGTACCATTTTGCGACAAAATGGTGCTTATTTAGACATTTATTACACGAGCACAAATATACATTTCGTTTTAATAGGGATCACTTTTTTAACCGTTTTTGGTAAGTAAAAATACAATATTTGTTTTCGGTTCGTATAAAATGCATGTTTACTTTATGTGGGTTCGTAATAATTTGATGACTTGGGATTGTTTTTTTCGGAAAGGCACCATAATCCTTAAAAATAAGAGGAAAATCTGATTACCAATAATAAATGCTTGATAAGTTGATTTCTTTGTAATGTATCGGTTATGTTATATTTTTCCAGTTAACAGATCATATTTTCATTTGTTGATATGGTATGAATTATATGATAGTTAGGAATAATCTGCATTTTTGTTTAACTATTCACAAAGAAAACTAACTTCGAAATCACGAAGTGTAATATGAATTTTAATCAAATAATTTGAAATTAAAACGCAGTAAGGAACTATTAAGGTAATTTTCATGTCGGTAAAATGCTGTCAGTATTGTAAAACTAAAATCATTTAAATGAGTATAAAAAATTTTGATATCCTAAATATAGCAAAATTCATAAAAAATTGAGCAAAATAAATAATAAGAAACGGGGGGTTTTTTTATTGATATTTGGGAGACTATCAATGGTAATAGATAAGGAGAAAATTTATTTTTATTACTTTTGGTTATTAGGCTAACTTTATTCACGTGGCAAGGTTGTCCGCGCTCCTATTTCAAAAAAAACAATAATAAATAATAATAAACACAGAATAATGAATAAAAGATAAAATTAGATTTACTTATTTAACTATTATTATTTAACTAAAATACTATGATAAATCTATTTTTTAAAAAAAGAACTCTATACTCCTTTGAACAGGATGTGCGAATTTTATTGTCAATTATAGATTGATTCAAATGGACAAAGCGAATCAAGCCAAGTCATAGCTCTTGGCAGAAAATCATTGAAAATCTAGGTTTTGAAATTATATATATAACTTTACCACTGCCACCAAAATTTGTTTTACAGAATCAACTTACGTTTAGAAAAAGAAGCAGAGATTGAAACTCCCAAATTGAAGCATTAAAATAGGCTAAACCTTCAACATTCATTTCTACCGCCACAACTACTCAAACTAATACTCCTCCAGGTCTACCAACTGAAAAAAGTTATTAACTAATATGAAATTTCAAAGCTTTTACCTTCTTACTGTCATTTTCATGTGTTTCTATATAATGGACATTAAAGGTAAAGTCCTTACATTTAATAATATGTTCTCCATTCTCTTTTCTAATGATTCAACTTTTTGGTTTAATTTATAGCATATAGTACCGACACGGAATTGGCTTTGACTCTCTGCAGTTGTAGAATTTGGGTAGAGGATTCAAATGGTTACCGCATAGCCGGTAGCAAACACTACAGTGATTGTAGTTACGATAACTATGGCCCGAATTTCCATCAATACCTTACGTTTCCAGATGAAACGTACACGGTTTATGCTAAAGTTTTAGGTAGTTTCGAGAAAAAGAAAATACGGGGACCTTTTAATGCGGGTGCCTGTTTTGTTATAACAGGCAGTGTTGATGATTGGAAATTTGATCAAGTAACTTGTAAGCCTTAATCGTTTATTTGGATATTATCTCAGTATGTTGAAGATGTGAACCAATTAAATCTGTTTCTCTAGTTGCATAATTAATTATTTTCTAGAAATATGACATCATTAATAATTAATACAAAAATTTTTAATTTTTCGAAAAATTATTTACCAAAAAAATTTTACCAAAATTTCTCTGTGGCAAATTTAATGTAGTGTAATTCATAACTATAATCAAATTACTCATTGTAATAACTTCATGATTTTTATTATTATTTTCGAAAAACATAACTAATATTTATCAATTTGGTATTAATACTTTTCGTAATAAAATTATTATTTTTTTAAAAAATAATTATTAAAACATTTAAATGAACTAATCTGTTATAATATATTTGAACTAACCCGTTACCGGTTTTTACTCATTTCAATCATGTTATTGAATAATATATTTACGATTCCATGATCCACATTCCATAAATTTCTAAACTAGTAAGGATTCCCTTATAGGTGATTGAAGATACTCTTCCGCCGACAAAAACTAATTTTTCAAGGTCCTGTAAAAAAAGTCGATCCATTTTTAATATTTCATCTTTTTTTCCATAAAGGGCTCATATTCCCTATAAAAAAATTGGATACGTTTTATAAAGTTTTTATACGATTTTTTTCCTTAGAAATAACGTATCATAATAGAATACGGAAAAATGCACAATTCCGTATCACTAAAAATATGGTTTGGGTACGGAATTTGCACGGAATTCATATCCTGGGTTTTTATATGCATTGTTTACAAAACTCTTGTGTTTATCCCAGCGCCTTCGTTGTGTCTCAATGTCGATGGCGCTGCGGCTCTCATCTCGCATATCTTATTGATGTCATCACACTCTCGAAACAAGACCCAAGTTTTTACGCAGAACATTAAAAAAAAAAAGTCACTAAACACTCTAGGAAGAAAAAATCGAACGTTAAAGAAATTCATTCTAATCGTCTTAGGATTAGTTATAACGTTACGATTCGAAAATACAAATTTGGCCTTGGTAATAAAGTGCCAGCTCATAAAAACATCATGGAACAAAAAACAGAACATAAGGGGACCGTGACAGAACGAGTCTACTACAAAGAATTCCTATAAAAAATTTTTCACATTAGGTTATCTCACCCTAAACAACAACCTATTATTAACGATCCAAACACTTTTTTCAGAAGAACTCTACCGCCAGACAATTCATCACACACTACCATGAACGACGTATCCTACATCTCGGCTATGGAAATGCAAGAGACGAATTACTTGCCACCTACGCCCGCACACAACTGCTAACTCACCATTACAAACAATTCCGGACTTGATAAAAAATGCATCATTCTATACCTGACAATATTTACATAAAGTATCGTACGTTAGATAAAAAAAAAATACGAATGATTAGTTTAGTTAGAATTCTCAATTTGTAATTTTGTTCGTTTTTCTTTTATTGTCTCTAACAGCACTGGTCACGCCTAGTGTTTTTTATAAATTATAGTCTCGTGAGAGTTGGGTTTATACTGTTACCGGTAGTGTTTTGTGCTCAGATCCCAGATTTGTATTACCCCATTGTTGAAAAATAAAAATAAAAATAAAAATAGATAATGGATCAGTCAAAATTAATAATCATTTATAATAAAATAGATAATGGATCAGCCAAAAATAATAATAAAAGGGAAGAGCATAGGAAAATGTTTTTGGAGGAGCACATAATTATCAGTTGAAAAATAGAAATATTAATAGTTTTTGTTGTTTTGAAATTTTAGCTGATATAAACTATTAGTGTTTTGGTTATATATATTCTATATTTTCATAGGTAAGATATTATGTAATTTCTAAACGAGTTTTAACTAATAAAGTTGCAAAAAAGAGTCTAGATTTCGAGATGCATTTATTTCATCGAAAATCGTCTCATCGACAATTAACTTCACGACCAATCATTTTACAGACAAGATCATTTCACCTATTTCACCTACAATTGTTTCATCGATGGTTATTTCACTGACAACTTTATATAAGATTCATTGATTATTTTTTGTATTTTTTTGTTAATATCAATTATTCAATATATTTAATAATATAATAAACGCTAAATACAAAATATTTAATTTATACTATCATGCCCGCAAAGTGATCCGGACCCAGCTCAGGCGTAGATCGTCGTGGAATTTCAGGGGATTTTCTGCGATTAAACCGGGTCCGGATGATCGGCAATTAGGAATTCGGCTCCGTTTTTCGGCTACTACACCATTATAATAATTAATAAAAAAAAAAACATTTTTAAAAATGTATTTAACATATTTAATATGTAAATAGATAGTCTCTATAAAAATTGCCAGTTGTTGTGCAACATCAAAATTGCGAACGGGTCTTACGTAGGACATTGTTGCTCATTACTAATTTTTTTTTCCTGCATGAGTATGACTTCATTTTTGTAACGTGCCTCATTTAAAACACCAAGTAGTACAATTTTTTTTTTTTTTTTTTTAAGAAAACCTTAACCTTTTTTACGTAAATTAACTCTACTCTAAAAAATTTTTTGTACTTAACGATATCTAAAATGTCTGACAACGTTGCTAATAATTCTAATGAGTGGATTAATTGGATTGAAGAATCTATTGCAAAGAAGCAAATTAGATATTACGACTATAACCATTTTAAAAATATTCGAGAGATTGGTTCTGGAGGTTTTGGAAAAGTGTGTCGTGCAAACTGGAAAAATTCTCATAATTATTTAGCGTTGAAATCTTTTACTAATTTTAATATCACGGCTAAAGAAATTGTTAATGAAGTAACTATAATGTTTTTATATATCATTACATATTATACTCTATGTACATTACGTTCATAATTTATAATATCATTTATTTAGCTTAAACTTCAACGTGAAGTGGATTTTCATGAAAATATAATTCGCTTTCATGGTATTACAACAAGTCGGTATTATAAATATATTAAATGTATTATTTTAATAAAGAGACAAAAATTCTAAAATAACTTTTTTCCTTCAAAAGAAATCCAAAGTGATGATTCAAAAAAATATTTGCTAGTGATGGAATATGCCGATAGTGGTACCCTTCGAAACTATTTAAGCCAACACTTTGAAAATCTCTCTTGGAATGAGAAGTTTACTTTGGCATTTCAATTAGCTAATGCCATATTGTGCTTACATGATGAAGATATAGTGCATCGTGATTTGGTAGGATATTTACTTAAATTATAATTTAATAAAATTTAAATAAGATTATATATCTGATATAATAATTATTTACTTTATTCGTTCATTTAATAATAGCACTCCAATAATATATTAGTTCATAAGAATACCATCAAATTGATTGATTTTGGATTATCAAAAAGGATTGAAGAATCATCTGATATTCAATCAAAATTATTTGGAGTGGTGCCTTATGTTGATCCACAATTTTATAATAGAAAAAGAGATAGCAATAATCAATTACAAATATATAAATTAAGTAAAAAGAGTGATATATACAGTATTGGCATACTCTTATGGGAAATCTCTAGTGGACGTCCACCTTTTTGTAATGAACCATGCGATGTTGGTTTAGCTATGGAAATATCACAAGGTCTTAGAGAGAAGCCCATTCTCAATACACCTGAAGATTACATAAAAATATATACTGGTAAATATTTACAATTAAATTTTATTAATTATAATTAAATAATATTGATTAATTGTAATTCTATTTTATATTTAGAATGTTGGAATAATGAACCAGATAATCGTCCAACTATCGACCAGGTTGTTGCAAGAATAAATGCAATTATTACTCAAAAAGAAAGTATCCGATTACCAAATGAGCAGCAAAATAATGTTGAAATGCCTAACAATATAATTAGTGAATCATTGCATGGAGAAATGTCTCAATTTATTCAAAATTTCGATAATATGAATGCAGAAGAAATGGAAACGATGTCATCAAAGAATAACTTCGACATAATTGTTAATGAAATAATTATCATTTTTGACAATATAGAAATGAAAATGAGAAAACGTAAAATTTTAAATTATGCTAATGATCATAATATAATTTTACAAGAAATTTATGATTGGTTATTAAATAATCAGGATAATACTAATTCTGTTCTTTTACTTGGAGTATTTAATCATTTTGGAATAGAAGTTAGTGTTGATGAACAAAAGGCATTTGAACTATATCAAAATGCAGCAGATTTAGGAAATATATTTGGAATAACTAGTTTAGGATATTGTTATATAAAAGGAATTGGTGCCAGTGTTGATGAGCAAAAGGGATTTGAACTATATAAAAAGGCTTCAAATTTAGAAAGTGTACATGGAATATATAATCTAGGGAATTGTTACTTTTATGGAATTGGAACTAGCGTTAATGAACAAAAAGCATTTGAATTATTTCATAAAGCTGCAAATTTAGAATATTCATTTGGAATAAATAATTTAGCATATTGTTATCGTAATGGAGTTGGAACTGTTGTCAATGAGCAAAAGGCATTTGAACTATATCAAAATGCTGCAAATTTAGGAAATTATATGGCCCAGTGTAATCTTGGTAATATGTATGAATATGGAGTTGGAATTAATAAGGATGTAAACCAAGCAATTTATTGGTATGAAAAATCTGCAGAACAAGGATATCAAGAAGCTCAAGATAGTTTAAGTAACTTAATCAATTAAAAGTATTATTTAGTTATATAGTAATAAGTTTTCAGTGTGCTTTCCATATTATTCTGTAAATGAAGTTTGTTTAGTCAAATCATGGTAGTCATTATATGAATAATATAATGGAATATTAATTACTTAGTACGTTTATTTTGTAATAACCAAACAAAATGACTAACTTTTTAATAATTATTAAATTAAATCATATACCTATTGACAGTAAATTGTATAAATGGATCTAAGGATAGTAACTTTATCTTTGTATATTATTATCTTAGTAAACAATAAAGTTTTTAGTTGTAAAATTAAAATTATTCATTTTTATAATGAACTTTTTGACATGGCAAAACTAATATGTTTCACAGATGAATAGTCACATGAACCGGATTACTATTTTAATTGTAATTGGGAAAAATAATTACCGTATAGCACAGCATATAGTACCCAGATCATTTACAATTTATCCGATTTAAAAATTGTGGTGAGATTCCGGGTATTATATGAGGGAGGTACATGAAGCAAGGTTTTAGCCAGAATCAAGGGAGAGTACTAATTGAGAGTAAAATTTTTATATCCAGTAAAATACCTCTAAAAATTTATTCTGTATTTTTTTTTATTCCGTAAATGTATTATATTCACGGAGTTTCGCAGAAATTAAGATAAATTTTTTTATATATAGGAGGGGATACTATAAATAGTGTTACAGTTCACGACATAAATATCCAGAATTTTTGATTTTGTGCATAAAGGGGCGCTGTCACACCAGGTCTTGTGCAATCAAAATAATAACTAAAATGGAAATTCACCAGCCCCTTTAGAATATATATATAAACACAAAAATTCTCACCTGATTGTTTTATTAGTGGCAAAACAAATTCATGGCACCCACTTCGGAATTTGAAATGCAACGGTTAACCATAAAGGAATTATGGGACAATAACATACGAAAACCCTCCGAAATAATTAAAATAACTGGTTTTCCTAAGTCTACAGTATATGATATTGTCAACCGTCTAAAAAAAACAGGAAGTGTTAAGCACTTACCCATTCCTGGTCGTCCTCTTGTTCTTTCTCCCAAAAAACGTCGATATCTTGGCCGTCTTCTTAAAAATGATAATGCTACAACTTCAGCTCTAATGACTACAAAGCTGAATAATTTATATCCAGACCTTAATGTATCAACCCGAACTGTTCAACGTACTCTCAAAAATAAACTTAATTATATTGTTTGTAGGCCACGATCAGTTCCCCTTCTTAAGGCAAGTCATGTTGAAACTCGTCTTCAATGGGCCTTAAACCATACCCAAGATGACTGGTCTCACACAATTTTTTCAGATGAAAGTACATTTCAGACATTCCGTAATACTCAAATTGTGCATTACAAGGCTGGCAATCCACGTCCATCACATCCTATGGTAAAGCATCCATACAAAGTGCATGTTTGGGGTGCATTTTGCCGTCAGGGACCAATTGGAGTTGCACTTTTTACAGGAAACATGAATTCTGCAAAATACCGTGAAATTCTTCAATCCCAACTACTTCCTAATGCTTATCATGCTGGTTATGGATGGAAATTTCAGCAAGACAACGCACCTACACACACTGCAAAGCTTACCCATCAATTTTTTGTGATTAACGATGTTTCAGTTATTGATTGGCCTGCTAACTCACCTGACCTGAATCCTATCGAGAATCTATGGGCGATTCTCAAAGGGAATGTAGAAAAAAGGGTCAATAATTGGATTATGAAAAAAAAATCACTTAGTGGAGATGATTTTCAGGGCATAATTCAGCAGGAATGGGATAACATTGATCAAAACGTTTTCTTTAATTTAGCAGATAGCATGTCAGATCGGATTAACATGGTCATAGAAAAAAATGGTTACACGATAAATTACTGATTTTTGACGTATGTTTATCTGCGCATTTTAAACTATAAATACAATAAATTTGAAATGAAAAAAATAAACTTTATTATATTTTTACATATTGTGATAAAATTCCGAATATTTATGTCGTGAACTGTAAATAGTAGTAATCAAAAAGTGTAAGAATTAGAATTGTTAAAATAGTAGTTAATTGTAATATCTGATATATAATAAATTATACTACATTGTGTGATTTGTGTCACGTTTTTTATGTAAAATTTTCATTTATACTAGCAGTCACCCGTTGCTTCGTACCGGGATCAATGAGTTTGTTTAAATAGAAAAATTTAGTATTATAACGTAATACTAAGTAAATTAAGATGGTTAATACATGTAATTTCCGTTCCCTACTAACTTTATTTCTTCTTTTATTTTATGGGTTTGGTTTTTACTTGGTCCCCTGTTTATCTCATTTTCGTCTTTTCACCATTTTTTTGTTTTCTTTTTGTCTCTTCATTTCTTTTGCCCTTTTTATTCTTCCCTTCCTTCATTTTTTCTGTTGTTTTTTATTTCCTCTTCGTTCCTTTCATTTTTTTCATTCTTTTACACTACTTTTCGTTCCTTCCATTTTTATTCCATTACCACTTATCTTTTTTGTTCCTTTGCACTATCCTTTGTTATTTTCGTTTTTTTTTGATTAATTTTTTAGAAGTATTTTCGAAAAAACTTTAATATTATGAAAATACTACAAATATTTTCATTAATTAATTATAAATTTTATAATTATTTCTTATTTTATATTACGTCAATCTTAAACTTATAATTAACTTTGGAAAAATATTTGAATAATTAAATGTATTAGAATCTATTCATTTCATTTATTATTATACTTTAGTTAAATTAATAATTTATCAAATAAAATAAATACCAAAACTATTTGAATTAAAAATTTTTATTGTGATTATTTAGAGAATTTCGGATATAGATTTGGTTATAATAATCTATTATTAAATCAACAATTTCTTCAAAAAAAATTAATATTTTTACATATTTTATAATTAATTAAATTAATTAATTGATTTTTATGAATTTGAAAAATCAAACTATTTATCCAGCGTTCAATTTAATTGAAAAAATCTTGCTCATCATTCTATCAACGTCGGTCAATTTTCCTATATCTGATATGTTATATTGATTTTTTTTAAAAAAATAATAAATTTAGTAAATATATTTAATGTAATATTTTATTTTTTATTTAATAATAAAAAAAATTTAAAAAAATTTGGAGTGAAGAAAAAGGATAAAGAAAGAAATCAGTTTAAAAAAAGGGAAATTTCTGAAAAAAAAAGCAATCCGAAAAAAAAAAATAAGTACGAAAAAAATTCTGAAAAAAAAGGACAATAATCCGATCCAAAAGAGTGAAAAAAAAAGATTTTTTTTTAAAAAAATAACAATACGGTCTAAAAAAAAAAAAGATCGAAAAACAATGGGGATTATTTAATAAAAAAATATATAATTTTTTCAGTTTGGGAAAAAAATTAAACCTAAACGGGAAAAAAATGAGAAAAAACAAATTTTTCAGGTTGAAAAACTAAACTACTAAACTGAAAGAAAGGGAGAAAAAATTTTTTTCAGTTTGAAAATTTTTAAAAAAAGGTTGGAATCGAATAGTTTTTGATCATAAATAGATCAGGCAGAGGCATGTCACGGGTTTTAATTATATGGCATGGGATTTCAAGTTACACAATTCAAATTATTTATACAGAGACTAATCCAAACGTCAGACAAAATTTTTTTAATTATAAGATAGATGTTAGTCTATTATTGAGTTTGATACAAAAAAAATGATATTATTATTAATAATAAGAATCAGGAAAAAAGGCAATTGATGTGGCGCCGCAACATTGATCTTGATCATTGATCAAAACCTAAAAAAAAATTCGGTTTGAAAGAAAAAAACCAAACCGAAAAAGGAAGAGGGAAAAAAAAATTTAGATCGGTTGGAAAAAAACCAAAAAAAAAAAAAAGTATTTAAAAAATTCCTATTAAAATTTCATTAACCGGAATTAGATTAGATGTACAGTCGGGTCCGAAAGTGACGCCCGATTTTGTATGGTGTTACGATACACAAAATTTACATTATTTATACCCCCTTTTTTTTATTTTTAAATGTTTTTCTCACAATTTCATAACCTAATAAACGCGTTGCAAAGTTAAAAAAATAATGTCACATAGAACTGAGTTAACTTCTCAAGATAAAGGAAAAATACTAGCATATATGGAGAATTTTAACCCTGCACAAATAGCAAGAAAAATGGGTCGTGACCCCACCACAATAAGAAGAATTATAAGAAGACAGGGAAAACTGAAAATTTACCTAGATCGGGGCGTCCACCTGCTCTCAATAATAATGAGAAAAATGCACTCATAAACAAAGTTACACAAGATTGACACGAACCTTTACATGAAGTCATTAATACATTAGATTTAAATTGCAGCCTTACAACTGCTAAAAGAGCATTACATAGTGTTGGAATTTATTCCCATGTTGCTGCAAAAAAACCCTTTATCTCAGAAAAGCATGCATTAGCTCGTATTAGTTGGTGTGAGAAATATAAAGAAAAAACAGCTTATGATTGGGCACAAGTTATTTTCTCAGATGAATCAAGTGTTGAGATTGGCAAGCAGTCACGACAAATAAGAGTTTGGAGACACACAGGGGAAAGGTTTAACACTGAATGCTTGACACCTATCTTTAAAAGTGGTCGAAAATCAGTCATGGTTTGGGGATGTTTTGCAGGAGGGATAAAAGGGCCATTAATTTTTTGTGATGAAAATAAAGAAGGAAATGAAAAAATCAATTCAAATACTTACATTAGAATCCTAAATTCATATCTGTATCCATTTCAGCATACAGTTCATGAGTTAACAGGAAGGGCTGCAATTTTTCAACAGGATAATGCACCCATACATACCGCGAAAATAACCAAGGATTGGTTGAAGAAGAATAAAATTGTGGTTATTGATTGGCCGG